AAGGATTTAAAGATGGAACACTGGGTTATCAAAATAAATAGAATATACACCAAACAATTGCTCCTTAGGCCGTATGATATGCTCTCCCAACAAGGAGGGGGGATCACGTCCCGGTATGCCTTTTGAAATAAAATTTTGGTGCCTCTCTGTGTTATACAATATTTAGGTGCTGACGAGGCTCCGGGACAGCACAACATTGAGAGAATTAGTTCCGTTTTCAGCAAACTTGACTGTAAAGATTGAAAAAAAAGATAGTGTCGCAATACAATATTCCTGCATTCACGTTCCTTGAAGTATCGAACAACGAACAATAATCATATTTATGCAGATAGAGGTAATGATGCAGTACACTAAAGCTTCTTAGATATGTACTAAATTTGTTTTTACAGGTGTTTTAGAAGAGATTAGAGCTCAGCGTGAAAGAGAGTTACTATACCGATGCAAATTCCTGAAGAGGAAGAATGTTTACAAGACAGCATTAGAAAAAAAAAGAATAAAAAAGTGAAAACAACGAAAGTGAGCCGCTATATGAACAGTGTTGGCTAGTCGAAATGAAAATATGAAATCTTCTCAGAACCGGTTGGAGCATTTGCATATAAACATGGGATCTACGCTTCAATGAGTTAGAAACAAATGGCAAGACTACAAATTACTGAGATGGGAATTGAGATCCACATTCAATAGAGACATGTTCTTTTCATAATAGCAAAAAAGTCGGCTTCAGCAACGCGTCCCTCAGCATCCTTACTCGCTTCCTTTATCATTTCCTCCAAGTCTTCCTCACTCAAGTTCTCACCAAGTTCTTTTGCGACCTGAGGAAAGCCGATTCTACAAGCCACTCCAGCCCGCAAATGCTCATACCTGTCTAAGGTTCTCGGCCGTGATCCATCCTTTGCCTTCCTTGTCGAACAATTTGAACGCACTACGCATCTCATCAGCTGTTTCATCCTTCTCTCCACTATCTTCCTTTAAAATCTCAAGGAACTCATCAACGTCCATATGATCAACTTCTATAACAAAGTGCTTCAAGCTGAAGTGGAAACCGACGACACTAAGGTTTTTTTCTGCGAAACCGAAGTACTGCGAAGCATCTAGTTAAATGGAAGTTAGTTCCAGAAAGAGGAAAAACAGCAAAAAGCAAAATCTCAAGATTTTGAGATGACTCACCCTGATGACCTCCCACCTTAGTTCTCTGCATTTCTCTGAATCTCATAGTCATTTGATCGATCTGAGCATTACGAGGATCGAAGCCAAGCGCACGCATGACAAGCTGAATGCTCAATATGAAGGCAAGCGATCCCTTTCAGACAACGAACAACTTTACAGCCAGCTGGTTTTCATTGCTTCTTATTCATTAATCTTGAAGTGCAATCCATGTTTAGGCTAGGCCAGCTTTTTGGCTGGAATATGAAAGTAAACGTGCAAAATGTATCCACTGTGAAAGAAAAAGGAAGAAGGCGGCGAAAATTATGGAGATGAGGGCCTCTTTTCTTTACGAGCTCTAAGAGGCAGTCCAGGAAACAGATAGGGCACCAGTGCGAAAGAAGGAGAATAGGTATAGGAATGCAATACGCAGATACCACATTGGGCCTGCACTGATCCTGGAGCGTGCAGCGGCTCAGGTCCCAAGCTCCTAGCGTTTGTACATGTTCTGCGCTGCGCCAAATGTGTCTGCAATCAAGGTTTTTCTTTAACTTCTCACTGCCATACACAAATTTCTCATTAAATCCAATTAATAAAACAAAAAAAGATCTGTCACCACCTTCAAAATCTGACAGTTCAACAGATGGGGGCGTTCTCGGCACATCCGAAATCGCCTCGACTTCCTTTCTGGAGAGAGGTGTTGAGATCGAAGGAACACGACATCCTACAAAGAAGTTTTTTGAAGGGTTTGATGACGAAGCGCAAGAACTATACAAGTAGGAAAAAATTGCGAAAAAACATCTATGGAAATCCATATACCAAAAAACAAATCATTCACTAAAATTTTATAAAACCTTTGTAAAATACTACAATGCAACAAACTGTAGAAACTACGCTTGCGAAGGCACATCAACGACATTGACCAGGTCAAATACCTCTACAGATCGTTCGCAACAATTTCAAATATTAGTGTTGGAGCTTCGAGAGTAGACGAATGAGGAAAAGAAGAGGTAGATTTATATTTTGAGCCGTCTAGAAATGTAAACGTTTCATATTGATATTGCATCTCATCACTAATACGTAGACCATGAGTACCTAAAATGGAGCTTTTACTAATTTTAGGAAAAAAAGTTTATTAACTGGTTACCTAATTTTCTCTGAAAAACTCTCATTCATCGATCACGAAAGCGTGATTCAACATACATCACGGGACTTCCGGAGAGGTTGGATACATATCGAAAGTACAGTCGGCATAAGCCCGGAGAATTTTGGAAATCCATAAAACAACGTCCTGAAATGATACAAACATGAAAGAAAAGAAGAGATGTAAAGATACACGACAGATATGTGAATACAGTTAGATGTAGAGCAGGAAATTGCATTGTAAAGGATGAAGGCCTTGAAAAACCGAGAATGATACCGTTTGCAGTCCGGCCTAACCGTAAGCCGTCAATTCAAAAAATTGCATTGAATCAAACTGTAACAAATCACATCCCTTAAATTATTTCTTCGCCAAACTTTCCTTTGTGGGTAACGGTCCCCGATTACAAAAATGATATTACTTTTACGCTGGCGCCGTCGTCCTCCGTTGGAGTCCTTTTTGACAGCGAAGTTTGCTCTCACAGATTTTATTTTTTAGATAAGGGTTACTTACTTATTGTTAGTGTCCTCATTACGAATGAGGCATTCGTTTTGGCACGAGGCTCTTCAACGCATTTTTTCCGTTCTCCTGGGCTCTCTTACTTATATACTGCCTAAGAATAGGCTCAGGGGAAGGGGGACTTCGGAAAAGGTAAACCGCGTACCGTGTGGCAAAAGTTGAAGAGTATGAAAATACAGGGCGAGTGGCTTACTCACCTCGGAGCCCTCCTCTCCCAAAAGGTTTAGTCATGGGGCATATACAGCAAGATCCGACGGAGACTATACTCCCGACGACCCGCTTGCTGCATACATCTTCTTAACGATTGCACGAATTCTCCAAACGTTCACCTTAATCACCTGCCCATTCTTGGGCATCTCAGAAGAATGCCTTGAGAGAAAAACAAAACGTTCCAAACTGTGGGAGACGTAAACCCGAGCCGCTTTGCAATGTCGCAGCTTTTAGGTTGCCTTTGAGTGTAGGGCGATGTGGAGTAACCTTTTCAAAGAGAATTCGTACTAAGAGTAGATCAAATGGCTTTAAGTCCCCTCAAATAGTTTTCCTACATTCTATAAATTTCGAAATATTTTGAAAACTCCTCTCTGGCTCAGTGCCACAAACGCGCGACCCAATACATTTCAGCCAACCTGAATTTGCCATCTCTACTTTAATTTCCAATGGCGACTTTATCGTATCATCTGAATATGAATTAGTTGAAAATAGAGTGCTTCTAAGATACCTGCCGCTATGATTACATCTGGAGCATTGAATAGTTGCGAAATATCAAAGGATGCCCAGTCGATATTCAACACTGCTACTGATGAATGCACCTGAAATATTAGCTATTACTGCAGTTTTGATAGTTGTGAAGCCAGCAGGTAAATATTGACAACTAGCGTGCTAAACTGCGAGCTTAAAGGCGGAGATTTACGATTAGGAGGCAGTCCTAGAAATAAAGTAGAGGTGCCGAGTGGTGCCGAGATGAAGAAAAAACCATAACAGACGGACCAAAACCCGAGAGATGGGATCCCTCCCTAACCCGTTAGTTTCCACATTGGTGCGATCCTTAGACTCTTCAACGCTAGCGCTCTCTCTCTCTCTCTGCTAAATGACTAGGGACCTTCAGCGACTGGTCAGCCAGAAAGTGAGAATACCGCGCTGATAGCTACGCGGAGAGCGCCATGCCAGATCGCTGGGGCTTTCCCTCGCTGCAAACATTGTGTCAGTCCGCCCACAGAGGTCCGCCTAACTTTCCACCGGGTAAGTTTCCCTTTCTTCGACTTTCGACCTTATCGTGGAATCTTCATTCAGAAAACCGCCACGGCAAAGTCATACGCGCTAAACGCCCCGCTAGCTAGCTTCACACTGAAACCATATAAAGATGCAAAGAAGAAGCAGAACAAAATGTGTTGTGCATGGGTGTGCCGTTTTCTACGTTCCTTTTTCTCGCACAAAAGCGCCATTTCCGATGGCGGCCGTTCATTTTCGCTGCTGCATGCTCAAGATTCACGCATACATCCACCAGTACACAAGCATGCAAGGTCAGGCTGGTGTCAGAGTCCGCGATCCGTCGCAGGTTTCGCTGATTTTCGCGATTTGCGCGATTCACGCGATTTGCGCGATTTTCGCGATTTGCGCGATTCACGCGACGGATCGCAAAAATTGCAAGTGTGTGAACATTTGAAACACTGAATATGAAACAAGTGTGTGAACATTTGAAACACTGAATATGAAACAAGTGGAATCATGAGCAGTCGTCATTCAGCCATCACTATCAAGCAGAAGTGGCGGCAGGATTGGAGAACACCTTGCAGTATTGATCGGGCACTTGTGATTTCCGTGACCCGTCGCGTGAATCGCGCAAATCGCGAAAATCAGCGAAACGCTGCGCGGATCGCCACTCTGTCACCAGCCCTATGCATAACGGCGGATAAAATGTTGCATATTACGTCACAAAAACGCTGTCTACAATGATCGAATTAAACAGAACCAAACCTTTCCCTAAGTTCTCTTGAACGTTGAATTCCAATTGCTCCAAAACTTTGGTGTCGTCGTAATCGGAAAGGGTCACAATAGGAGTATGCAAATTACGGCTTGGTCAGACTAGCGATCCCTAAATTGATGTAAAGGACCTCAAATGATACGTTCGTGAAAGGCTGTACACGATTGGACGGAGAAGTTTGCGGGTCGCGTCCGTGGGCCAACGGGCCGTTTGTGCTTTTTTGGGCCGTGGTGGGGACCGGCCCGGGGCGCATGTTGGAAGCGCGGCTGGGGCGAATGCTGCGTCCAGGTAATTAAGCGAGATTGGAGTGGCTAAAGAATAAAAACAATAGGTCATACAAAAGTGAAACAGTAGATATCAACGTGAACATAGGCTTTGGAAGGGTAATATAGTTAGGTTGGAAAGAAAGCAGTGCCAACATTTGGTCAAATTTTTGATTTGAATTTTATCTTTTTGGTTAAACTTCTGACGGTCTTAAGTATACATGACGGTGAAGGTGGCGTTGTAAGTAGACTGCAAAAGCCATCAATAACGGAAATCTTCCAGGCTCCACCTCTTAGTTGTCTTCCATGGCGCTCAGAAAAATTTCGGGGGCTTGGCGTTTGAGCCTCCTCTGCCAAAACCCAGGGAGTGCGATAGTCGAGAAAGGAGGCGACCTCACTTTCGAGTTGGAGTTGATCGTCTGATTATTTCGTTATAAAGATGATGATTAAAGGTCCAGGATAGGTAGCACTTATTCACAGCTCGACCAGAGGATTACGCTAAGAGAGGAAAGAAATCTTGCCGCAACTCCAGAATTTCTTACCGGGCTCATTTCGGATCATGGTGATTCGCAATGTCATGAAAGAAATGAATATTGTGTGCGCGGGGGGCGTCGAGAGGGGCTGCGAGTGGTAGCTACCTCGGCCAGCTTCTGGTACTTCACAACCTAGGCCACTGCCTACACAATGGTGCCCATAACGAAGGGCATGTAGTGGAGCTTCTGATAAGAGCCCTACCTGTAATGGAGTGTGAGGGATGCTGCTGGCTTCTTATAAAAATATCAAAAGATCGGAAGCGCTGGTAAAGGTGAAACACGCTGTATCGCTGAACGGCATGCCATTAGAAGCTATTGCAGATAGTGTCAGTCGTTGACACGAATCCATGGTTTTGTAGACATTTGTACTAGACAGTGACTCGGAGTACGGATTTGCTAGTGGTCGAGATTTTTTGAATTTTCTTGGATAACTACTGACTGCAGAACTTATATCCACCTCGTGGATTGAAGCCTTGAGAATGCTCTATCATTTGGTAGTCATAAATGTTACCTATGAATTTTTCAGAAAAAAAGAAAATTTTGGAAAGAGTGTTGCAGAACTTTCTTTCCAACCTAATAGTAATGGAATTTTGATATGAAGACTTGAACTGACAGTGAGAATGCAAAAATTGTCAGAATTAGCTGCAATTGACCTCAAAAGCTGTTTCACTTCAATCATTTTA